AAACTATCAACGTGATGGCCAAGCGACTATAAATAATCAAAAATGGTGCACCAAACTATTTTCCTAATAGTTTTGGTGGGCCTAGAGAATGTCCAGCTGTAGCTCCTCCGAAGTGCTTTGTGAGTGGCGACGTAGGTCGTTATGATGTAGATCCAAACGAAGACAATTATGGACAAGTTACTTTATTCTGGAGAAATGTTCTTGACGATAAAGAGAAAAGCAGATTAGTGAACAATTTAGTACAAAATCTTAGCAATGCATCGACATTCATCATTGAAAGAGCCGTAAAGAATTTTACGGAAGTAGATACTGATCTTGGCAGAAGACTTACGGAAGGTCTTCGTGATAATGGTGTATTAATTAATCCTTATGGCAAGACCTCTAGATTGTGAAAAAATAAAGATTACTTTTTATTTTATATTATAATTATTAATTTAGATTAGATATACACTATATAATTGTTAATATTTTCCATAATGAAGCACATTATTATTTTAATTATCTATTTACGTCATCTTCTGAAGCTAAACATATTTTATGATATCTGATATTTTTTTTCTTTATTATATAATTATTAACAGATCTAATTAATTATGTAAATGTGTGAAGATGAGTAAAGAAAAATTATATATAATGAATTATATATAATGAATAAAGAAAAATTTCTAATAATTATAAAAAATATTAAATTATCTATATTAGATTTTGAAGTTGAAAATCTTAATTGATCTTACTACTTGTTACTAATAACACAATTGAATTATGTGCGTTTATTTAATGTATTATATAAAAATCAAATTTTATTATTATGATCAAAAATTTTATATATAATATTATATAATATATTATATATTATATTATTTATATTATATTATATATTATATAATATTATATAATTTTATATATAATATTAATATGAGTATGCTTTGAGTAATCAGTATATATTAAAAAAATTATATAATTCAATATCTAACAATAAGAATTTAATTATTTTTAAATTCTATCTATCGGAAGTCTAATAGATTCTTTTCATAATTTTATTTACTATTATCTTACTATATTACTTTTTGTACTTTTATGATGTTTAAACAACAACGTATATAAAAACTTAAATTTTATCAAATATAACTTAATATATCAAATAATAATAATTAAATATATTAATCATATATAAAACAAAAAATAAGCAAATACTGTCAAATCAAATATTGATAAATAGAAAATATAAATATATTGCATATAGTATAAATATATATAGTAAGTTGTCGGTGAGAAAAATTCATTATTTTTCTGCATAGTCATTTGTCTTTTGTTTGAAAAAACAAGTAATCATTTATCTTTTGTTTGAAAAAACAAGCAATCATTTGTCTTTTGTTTGAAGAGATATGAAATATATTTAAGTTTATTTTTACGAAAATCAAGCGAAAGAAAACCAATATAAAACATTTTTTTTAAGCAGAAACATTTTTTAATATAAAGACATTATATATAATTAAATGATGATACGTATGAATATTTATACGTATAATTCTCAATAAAATAATATTTAAAAAAATAAAAATATTTTCGGAAATTATTTTTATTTTTTATGTATATTTTTATGTATTGATGTAATGCAAATTAATAATATAATATTAAATTAAATTAATTAAAATGTTATTTGACATAAATACTTAGAGTATATAGTATTTTAATTATTTTAATTAATTATATATTTCTGGTTTGGAATTTAGTTTTGAAATTGTTAATAAAAATATGAGTATTTATGAGTATATCATTATTAAAAATCTAATATCT